AGCATGTGACAAAACAGTCGGCCCAACTCAGTTGATTTTGTACGGTTTTCTAGGTCAATCTCCACAGAAGGAAAACATCTAGCCTCTGATATTGTAGCTGTTTATTGCTGGCAAATATTTGGTGATTCAGAGTCTGTGATTTTAAATAAAATATTGTGTCGACTCCTAACAAAAACAAGTGGATAGTGTTGTCTGTTCAATACAGGTAATATAGTGTCAACTCATAACAAAATTAAGTGGATAGTGTTGTCTGTTCAATACAGGTGTAGGACAAATTCCATGGATCCCAAACTAGGAATTTTTGTGCACCACTGGGCCTACACCAAGGAATTTATTTGCGTCACTTCTGACAAGTATGTGTCAAGGGTGGGGGGCAGGGTCCTTGTGATTGATCTCTGGGGAAATTGAGGGTGCAGTTAAATGATTTTTGTGGTAGTTTTTAAAAATAGGAGCTTATGGTGCAAGGCTGCCTAGATGGGGTCCCCCCTAGATGCATCCCTATGAATGCCTTCATGTATGCTTCTATATAGCTCATTTTCTATATTTTCTGACAATAATTTGGCCTTTTTGAAAGTAACATTTTTAGCAAAAATATCTCATCCCATAAATGCCAGATATTGGAGGACAGAACATGACACAGCTCAAATGCAAATTTTAGTATCCAGGGTTTTGGTTTTACTTATAGTAACTGGCTCGCGCTGCCAGTAATTACGCCGCGGGATATTCAGGGCACATACCGTGATCATAAGACATACCGCGAACAGAAAATAGAATTTAGAAAATAGACATTGCATGTGAATGCAGCCTAACACTTATTCTGATTAATTTGTCTTGATTTTCGGGTAGAAGTTCGTTTCTTAAAGGACTTTAGATGATGTTCTGTCAAGAAAAGCCTCTATCACATCCTGCTGTGTGAATGGGACAGATCAAGCATAAATGGTTTGGTGCGGTGGTCCACTGTTAGTGAGTGTTCCTTTAAAGAGCTTATTCTAAAGTTTTTGCATCCATTCTCAGATGTATAGATGTTTCTTTTTTTTTTTTTTTTTGCTTTAGAGCAAAGGGTGCAAACCATCCCCCCCTTCAGCTTCCCCTTCTTTCAGCTCTACCCAAGGGTAAGTTTTTTCCAGTCTCCATTAAATTTCCGAGTTACAGAAGCTGGATTCACCTAATTAAGAAAAGCAAAAAAATGACTTAATTAAAGAGTGCAACCATAAACTTGTATTATAATTTCCTAAAAACATACATATGCCTATTCAGTATTGAATAACGATCCATACAGTACAGAAAAATACAATATACAGTTATCAAGTTGTGTACCTTAGTGTAATGTCTCCGTTAAGACAAAGATAAAATGGAGGCCATGCACCTTTAACCAGTTCCCTTTATTCACATCGGCACCTAGTGCTTTCCTTTTTTTACCATACATTGCATCCCCTTTTCTTTCTTTCCTTTTTTTTTTTTTTTAAACATATAAACTGTACTCAAGTGCTTTAAATCTAAACTACAAGAACAGAAAAAAAATGAGAAATTAAAAAAAAACTACATTACTTATATACTGAATGTTGATATAGTCAATAAAGTCATCCCAGATAACATGCCACTGGTGGGCCACCGGTAGTGCAACTGGTGGGCCACCGGTGGCAGCCACCGGTGGGCCACCGGTGGAATGTCCAGCTAATAGCCAGTGGCCCACCGGTGGCAAGCCGCTTATGGTGGCTAACCAGCAGCAGGCCACTGGTAAGCCACCGATTGTTTTACAGGTTTTTTTTTCATTTAATTGTACCACCAGCGTTAGCGCTGGCGGTACACATGGTTTCGGTCCCGTCCGGATCGTTCCGCCGGCTCCGCCGGACGGCTACCGTTACCGCTTCTCCTCCTAGACGGTAAGGGCCCCCGTACCCATCTCATGGATTTAGGTCACCTATAATCTCAACTCGTTCCACGTAAAATTTGGGCTTTGTCGGTATTGGGGTCTGGGTGTGGCACTCATTGCAATGCACCCTTGTCTAAAAATGGCAAAATTAAATGCTAATTATCTACCCTACGGAAGGAGTTATGGGAAAAATTTCTATAGACAGCTTTCCAAAAGTCATATGTGTAGATTTCAAATATACCCTTGGATTTGACCTTTGACCTTTACTTCAAGGTCAAA